CCGTGTTAATCAGGTACCTCTATAACCCTTGAGCAGATTCCAAGATAATTTTTGAGGGACATTTTGCAAACCCATGATTAATCTCTATTTAAGGCAGGTCAGCTTCTCAGTTTTTATCTGCATCTCACTTTTTACATTTAATACCAACCTGACTGATTTCTCATGTACCCTCTAAACTACATGAATCCACAAGATGAAATAGCAGTACTTCAATGTTTCCTCAGAGAGCTCACGAACTCTAACCAAAAACAGAGCTAGAAACTTGTGTTTGAGACACCTGCAAGCTTCCTGTGTTCTTGGTTTTCTTGGTTTCCTATTATATTTTCAGATGCACCATGAGTTTTAAAAAATTAAGCATACAGCCCTGCCGGGCATGGCTCAGCAGGTGAGCATCGACCTAGGATATAGGAGATCACAGTTTGATTCCCTGTCAGGGCACATGAACGGGTTGTGGGTTCGATCCCCAGTAGGGGGTGTGCAGAGGCAACTGAGCAATGACTCATCATTGATGTTTCTATCTCTCTCTCTCCCTTCTTCTCTCTGAAATCAATAAAGATATATTTTTTTAAAAATTAAGCATACATTAAAATGTAATTTATAAACTATAAACATGTGCTAATTAATATGTTTGTTCTAAAGCATATATAAACCAGAAAATATTAAATAAGAAAAAATAAAAATAGAAGCTCTGTTAGTTACTTAATACTCAATGGATTATTTTGTGTAGCATTAGGGTTCTACATTCCATATTGAAGATCCCAGCTTCCATGTACAAAGAAAGTCAGAGGAAAACAGTGCTGGCCTTAGCTTAACCTAGAACAGATGACCTTGTCAGCCCCAGCCCCATCTTTCACACCTTTATTTTTTTTAATTGTCCAGTTACTTTTACTCAGATTTTTGGGGTCTCCCTGTTTACAGCCTCTGCCTTATTCTACCAACTTTTCACACTTTATTTATATAAAGCAAAATATAAGGTAACCAGTGGAGAATTGTTTGGGAGGAGAAGATAAGCAAGATTAAAATGTACCTCCACATTTGGGTCATTAAGAAAAGATTGCACTCTTAGGAAGAGGGTAGCTCTAGGGAAAAAAAAAGAATGTTAAAAGACTAGTTTACACATGTTGGAGGAACAAAAATCTTTCTTCTACCTTCTCTGTATAAGATGCNCAAAATATAAGGTAACCAGTGGAGAATTGTTTGGGAGGAGAAGATAAGAAAGATTAAAATGTACCTCCACATTTGGGTCATTAGGAAAAGATTGCATACTTAGGAAGAGGGTAGCTCTAGGGAAAAAAAAGAATGTTAAAAGACTAGTTTATACATGTTGGAGGAACAAAAATCTTTCTTCTACCTTCTCTGTATAAGATGCTGAACATTTTCCAGCAGTGTGAGGTGGAAGCTCTACCATGTGGTGGCGGATCCCAGGCAATGTCCTCATACCATAAGCAGTGACTACCAAGGGTAGGGGTGTATGTAAACTTCAAATTAGCAATTTTTGTTGCTTATTTTTTAAGAAGCATTATATTCTACATGGAAGTGAATTCAGAGAACTTCCTCCTCTATAGTGGGGCCCCACACACTCAGCCTTAGCTATAGGCCTTCTTTTTTTTTTAAAGTAAGCTAGTTCTTAACAATTCAGAAACGTTCAGGTTTGCATTTGTGTCACCAATCCCTGTGCTACTACATATTTCTGCAGTTAAACAGCAGATTCTAAATAAGCAATGACAACCCAGTGATGGTGAAGACAAATGAACAGAACTTGAATTACATCAGTTTGTCGTTCTATATGATTACGAGGAGTTTAATTGTGTTCAAAATATAAATTCAAAGACTGTGCAAATTGAAAGGTATAATATTTTGCTTGGTAAGTGCAAATTTTAGTTCACACAAAAATTTACTAGATGTAAACAANAAAGGTATAATATTTTGCTTGGTAGGTGCAAATTTTAGTTCACACAAAAATTTACTAGATGTAAACAATATATTTAAAATTCACAGTCATTCTTTTAATAGTTATTTTTTGTTTTAAAACCAGATAATGAATAAAAACTAATGATTATTACTGATCATTGCACAATAATGACTGGAAATAACTCTGTTATATAAAGGACAGAGGTGTTAAACTTGATCCCCTCTGGGTGTCAAATACCTAGGCATGCCACTGACTACAAGTGGTACACAGGGGTGATGGTCACTGTCCCCACTGTCCAGGTTCTATTTAATCTAAGAGCAGTCTTGTGTGAACCTCTTCTCTTCTCTTTTCCTGCCATTCTCAGCAAGCTCACTAGCAAATGCAATTCAATTCATACCTGTAAACCAATGTCCTTTTGGTCATCCACTTCCCAGTCAATCACTTTCTTTACCTGAGCCCTGAAAAATGTTTTGATTTCTTTTTTTAGATTATCTATGCTATTATATTCATCTGTGTGTACAGATTACTCTCAAATTTATGTCTTTTACTCTTACCTTTCCCCTGAACCCCAAACTTGTATATTCAATTCCTTATGCCACAGCTCGCTCTGGATGTCTAATAGGCATATTAAAGTGATCATCATCAAATATGATTTAATGTTCTTGTGATATCTATTCTTTCCCCAGGAGTCCCCATTTCAGTAAATGGCATCACTCTTCAGCAAGCTGTTCAGAACATAACCTTCATCTTTCACTGTTCTCTTTCCCCTGTGACCCACATCCAGTCCACCAGTAAGCCCTAAAGAGGCTCAGCCTTCTACCTCTAACCCAAATGCATCCAATTCTCACTCCTTCCCTGACTACCCCCTTTGACATGGAACTCTGCAAAAACCTACTGCCTGGTCTCCTTGCTTACCTGTTTTCCCTCCAGTCTCTTTTCCATGACAGGTTCCTTAGGAAGCTTTTTAAAACATAAACCATCTTGTGTTTTTCTCCTGAGCAAAACACTCCAATAATTACCTGTCAAATTTACAATAAAGTCCAGAGCTGGTATGTTGATTTAACAATCTGACCCTGGTTGTATTTTCTGACCTCTTTTCCAACTTCTCTTTCCCTTATTCACATCACTGGCTCTGGTCACACTGCCTCTGTAGCTCTTCCTTCAACACACTGACCATCTCCCTGCCTTAGGCTCTTTAGTCTGGAGCACTTGCCCAGCTCTTCCTCTGTCTCACCGCACACCTCTCCGGGTCATTGCTCATAGGTTGCCTTTTCTGAGATGCCGTTCCCTGGACACACTGCATTGTGAACAACAGTACAGAGGCACACTCAATTGTCTTGCCTGGATTTATTTTTCTAAGGGGGATTTTAAAATATGTGACATAGTGCATATTTATATCCCAATTACAATGTAGTCTCAAGAGGGCAAGGACTTTGCTTGTGTTGCCCGTTGCTGAGTTACCGGAGCTAGACGTGGTACAGAGAAGCTGTATAAATAGTCATTGAATTAACAAATGAATTAATCTACCCCACTTCTATATCAAATCCAAGTCTGTGCTCTTTCTTGTTTTCCTCAGTCACTCCTTTCTTCAACCCCTATCTGGTAATTAAGAGAGTATCCTTGCCTTTTTGTTGCTATCCCTGAGCCCCACTCTCAATGTTTCCAAAGAGAGATATGAGGAAGAAATCACTGTGCATCCGAAGGCATATCTGGGGAAGGGACACAAGACTGGCCACAGCAGAGGCAGAGCCGGACTTTCCCATGACTGTCTCCCATGAGTGGTCTCTGCTCCCTCTCCTCGCTCTTGAATCATAAGATTCAATCTTTTGCTTATGATTCAAAAATTAAAGTCTTTTGAGAGCCTGAGACATTTTCCCTAAGTTTGCAGCTAACTCATTTGGTAGCAAAACCAGACATGGCCTGGTGTCAGGCTCTATACAGTCTTTATCACGTGTTTTGTGAATATTCATATGTTTTTGCAGAAGACTTATGTGTTTGATTGCAGGATGCTTCCTCCCACTTCTTTGGTAATATAGCATAATATACATAATTTGTACTCTTTGACCTTCTAAAACCTGAAAGAAATTCGGAGTTCTTAAGCACATCTGGCCTTGAATGTGGATGATGGAGCCCTACTTGATTTCTCAGCCATGCGTGAAGGAGGAGGAGCTCACGTGACCCAGAGCTGAATAAGGGAATGTAAGAAGACATCCGCTTGAGCTTCCAAAGAAAATGGCCATATTCCAACCCTTCCTTCCTGCTCAGGGTCTCTGCTGACAATGTGATACCTGCCACCTCGTGACCACAATGAGACAAGATCAAGGAGGAAAAGCCAATAAACTGAGACTGGTGGAGGAAGGGGGGAAACGATCAGGTTGGTAATGACCTTGTTGCGTCTCCAAAAGAGCCCTGGAGTCAAGCACTGTGCTTCTGGTTAAGCAAATAGTACACTTCCTTGCTTGTAAATCCGTGGTCATCAGATTTTCTACTTTCCCACAGATGGGATTAGCCAGGGACAATAAAATGATGTCTTCACAGGTGACAAGTAGAGCCCTTGCTCAGCAGACCATAAAGTAACCTTTTCCTGATGAAGAATCGAACAAGAAGCCTGTCATATGGGGCCGTCAACAGAATGTCAGGTGCTGGCCTTATCAGGTTGCCAAGAAGAAAAGAGACAGAAGAATAGAGAGACCAGAGAATTCCCCTTGCACTAGAGAAGCAGAACAAAGGCAGTTGGCGCTTATCATGGAAAAACTGTTGATTGGCACACCCCAACTGGCAGAGTCCTCTGAACTAGGGAGTGTGCCTGCTTGTGTATTAAGGAGTGCCCAGGTCAATACCACAGGTTATGAAACATCCTGGCCCCAACAGTCTTTGCAAGACCTTTTCTGAACTCGTTGGTGAGTGAGTGCTCTCTGTGGCCACCCTCCCTGCTTCTCCAAACTGCTTAGAGAGATCCGAACTCCATAGGGACATTGCCATTTCTCCACGCTCTCTTCTCGCTTCCTCCCCCGCCACACTGGAGCTCGGGGATCTCAGCTTCTTTCCAATCTTTCCTCCCAGCTCCAGGACGCCGCCTTCCCGCAGGATGAAGCCTACTTCTTGCTGCCTTCTCCTCCCCATCCTCCTGCTCCAGTTGGTGATCCCAGGGGGCACTCAGTGTTCCTTAGACTCGATTGTGGATGAAAAGATAAATGATGCTCTTCAAGGTTTGGCTAACTGATAGGAACTGGGGGAAGCGGGAGGGTAACCCCTGGTCGTGCCTTCTGCTCCTAAACCCTAGCTTCTCCTCTATCCCGTCCTCAGATCCCAACCTAATCAGTCAACTCAAGCCCAAGCTTCCTGCCCAGGGCCTTCCCACTCCCTTATCTCTTTTTGGACTCTTGGCTAAAAGTTCAGGCTTCCTTGATGGTAATGAGATTGATGATGATGGGGGGGGGGAGCAGGAGGATAGTAATAATTTATTTATGAACACTCATGATGAGAAGTTTTACATAGGTTACTTCATTTAATTTTCACTTTCTGGGGTAAGTACAACTATTACTTTCATTTAAAAAATGAGAAAACCAAACATTAAAACTAGTTTGTAGCCTGATCATGGACACAGGGACACATCTGAGGAAGAAGGAGATTTAGGAAGGCCGTATGGGAGACAGACAGGGATCATGGGCAATACCCCTTTTCTCTCCTACTCAGAGTTCAATCCTGCCCCACCAAAGATGTCATGTACCAGTGTCACCAATTCTGGCAGACTGTCCTCTTGCCCTTCAGGTGAGTAATTCCACGAGCAGGGATGGAGGGTGCGATGCCCTGTGCCCCCCCATCCATGCCCAGCATCTACATCTCTCCCCCACCTCAGGTTTGTATTTGCCTGGGCTGTGCCATGACTCCTGGCTCCCAGAAAGCGCTTACCCATTCTCATTTCCCTTAAGGAAGTTACTGAGGGATCTTGGGTTTCTGCCTCTTCCCTTCCCACCTTCCTTTCATGACCTAATATATGAGCCCTTCCTCTTAATTGTCCCTTTGGAGTCCTATCACCTACCCAGTCCCCTGCCATATGTCCCCCTTTTTCAATTTATTACCGTTTCCATGGGTAAGGTGCCAGCACGGAGGTGGATTTACCATGAACCTGAGGGATCGGAAACGCCTGGGCCCCTCGCTTTCATGGATCTCCTCCCTGGCTACACACCTCAATTTGTCTTAGTAATTTTTTCTCCTTAAAGAGAACCTTCACAACTGGATTAACTTCAGGCCCTACAAAACCTAGATCTACTCCTGGGCTGCGCAGGGCTGAAAGATGGTTATGGGTGGACTTTACTCAAAATCTCAGGGCTCTGACGTCCATGTCGCATGTGCCCGTGCAGGGAGCGCCGTCACCGGCTGCGCTTGCGGCTATGGCTGTGGTTCCTGGGATATCCAAGGGGAAGCCACGTGTCACTGCCAGTGCAGTGTGGTAGACTGGACCACTGCCCGCTGCTGCCGCCTGGTCTGAGAAGGAGGTTGAGAAACGCATTGTGTGACTACGACTGTAATGAAACCAGGGCCCCAAACAGGAAACCTGACACAAACTGTCCCTTTCATTTGTTACCATCCTGCTTCTTGGGTAATAAAGGCAGTTTTTGCATCTATCCATCTATGTATATGTTTTTGATGTTACCACTTCTGGCTTAGGACTCCTCTAGCAGGAAAATGTTTCTAACATCCCAATTGCTCCATCTTAGCAAGGATTAGGAAAACTATGAGGAAAATGGCAAAAGCTGAGATGGACACTCCAGTTCTTTTATCGTTTAACAAAAGGACAATGACTCTGTGGCAGGCACTTTGCTTGGCACTAGAGGTACAAAGGAAGAAAATAACACACGTGCCCTTGCGGACATCACCAACTAATACTGCAGGCTCCAAACCAGGTACAGGGTGACTTTTCAAAGTGGAGGCTGGCAAAGTCCTCCACAATGATCAGCGTCTAGATTTTTGATTTGTATGTGCACCGTTTCCTAAACTTATGTGTCAGAGATCTGCTTTGATCAAGGTGATAAATTTGCCATTGTGTTTCTCCTCCATAACAAAATAAAGGCGAGCCCTTACTTGTCATTAATCCTTCCCATGGTTCATTGCCCTGGGGTATAAAAATCTGCCTAATGTAAAAAAAAAAAAGATGCAAAATATTGGTGCCAGTGTTGGGTGGGTGATTCAGTGTCTGGGTAACAAGTCTCTTGCAAGTTGCGAAGCTTCAGTTTTTGACTCAATACTGGAGGAAGACATAATCCAGTTATCAGTGGATAGACCACTAAAAAGCAACTTTTACTAGTAAGTTGCAGTGTGATTTTTAACTAATAATGCAAAAGGAATTCAAACAAATTGAATGACATTAATATAAAAAAATTTCCCCTTCCTACATAATTATGAAGTAGTCTCAAAGCTTATAAGTATGAGAAGAAAAAAATAGGAATATAATTGTTTCTAAACTTTATTTCTCTCTAGGATTATTTATTCATGGGTATAGAAAATACTTGGGGGGGGAACAGCCTCATCTCTCTCATTTAAGAATACATTTGTGGGGATGGGTGGAGGTGGAAGAGGGTATAGAGGGGATAATTGGTGATAGAAAAATAAAATAAAATAAAATTTTAAAAAAAGGAATACATTTACAAAGGATAACGTTTGTGTTTATTAAATACTTATCAAAATTTTTGTTTTGTTCAATTGTATTATTAATCATTGTAATAATTAAAATGTATTCGTATTTATGGCATCTAGAGTTAGTTTTTAAAATATAAACCAAATTATGTCACTTTCCTGCCCAGAGTACACTTCTAGTGACTTCTCATTATATATAGAATAAATTACTAGGTATTTATCATGGCCAAGAAAACCCTGCATCTAGCCACTGGTTATATCTCTGACCTCATTTCTGATCTTGGCTCACTTTGTCCTGCCCACGCTTATGTTCTTGGTGTTCCTATAAGTCATAACCACCCTCCTACCTCAGGACCTTTCCACTCTGTGTCCCCTAGATAATTACATGGTTTTCCACACACAAGGTCAAGCCTCAGTATTTTTCAGAGAAGCTATCCCATCATGCTTTATCTCTTGCCCTCCCCCCTTTTTTTAAATGCTTCTCAGTCCTGATATCATTGTATATATTTATCTGTCAATCCCCCCTTGGGACAATGTGATCTGTGAAAGATGAAACTTTATTTAAATGGAATGTCATTGAATCTTCACTTCTTAAAATAATGCCTGGCCCATGGAGCAGCTATAATGAATAGTGAATGAGCCTACTGTCAAGTCCAACTCTGAGTCCACTTTCTCTCTTGCTTTCTGGTTCTCTCCCTTTACCTCAACCTTGGTCACTGAAGGACAGACTTTGTTTTAACTGGTCCCTGGGTTCCATTCTTGAGGTGCCTATAGCTGTACATCAGAGGGCACCTCTTTGAAAGAAAAAGCCAAAGAGAGGAGAGGGAGGCTAGAGAGGTTGGGAACAGTAGAAGCAGAAGTCAGATTTTGTAGCTCTGGCTGAAATAGTTCATTGGCCACTTAGCGGCCAATATTCCCTTTCTCTGTTAACAGTATCCTTGATTGTATTCAGGGTGCTCATGTGCCCGCCCAGTCCTGAATGATAGGTTACGGTTTAAGCCAATAATTGAGCCCCTGCTCCCCTTGGCCATATATTCTCTATTCTAGACACTTTCATATGGGGTGGAGTTGTAGCACCTGACCAAAATCAGGCCAAGAAGACAAAGAACTTTGTTTGGACCTCCTGAGGAACAATTTGTTTCCTGAATAAAAACCAGAGATTCAAAATTATCCGTAACCCTTGTTGCTTTGGATGTTGGTGTGAGAATGTGAGTCTGGAGTTGTCACCATGGAGTTAGTCAACCATTTTGTGACTTTTGAGAGAAAATTATAAGGGTTGTGAAGTAGGAAGGGGGGGGGAACCTGAGGCTATAATAACATTATTCAGCCACTGAACAAAGTCTAGAGTCATTGAATCTCATTTCCTCCTAAGTAAGTAATAAATGTTTGCGTTTGTTCATTTTACAAATATTATTGAGTTCTGCTGTGTGATAGGCTTTGGGATATAATAGAGGCTAAAATGGAAAAGAATTGCTGCCTTCATGGAACCTCTATTGTAATTTTAAGCTTTTACCAGATGGGATTTTTGTTACTTTCCTGTGGACAGAATTAGTCAAGGGCAATGTAATAGTATCTGAGCAGATGACAGCAGGGCTTTTAGACCACACCTTTTACACCTCTTCCTGTTGAAGGAATGAACAAAAGGTCTATAATGAGAGATGTCAGCAAACTTGGAAATTCCTGGCAGGTTAGCTGCCAGGCTTGTGGAGCTGCCAAGAAGGAAGGAGAGGGGAAATGGAGAAAGGCAGAAAGACTTCCCCAAGGCAGGGAACCAGAGTAGAGGCAGCTAGTATCTCTCCAGGCACACAGTGGAGATTGTTTCAGGCTCTTTCTGAAGGTTTGACCCTCCCTAGCTACCTTAGATGCCAAGTACTGCCATTGTTCGCTGGTGAAGAGAAGGGAATGCCTTCGACAGGACGCCAGGGTGTAAAGCATCCCTGCCTTCCCAACCTCGGCAGCCCTTTCCCAAACCTGGCTGGGTGAGTGGGATGCACAGCTCTCTTCCCTGACACCCAGCTTCTGAGTGCTGCAAAGAGATCCAGGTCGCCCTGGCCCTGCTGCCTCCCTTCCCCTGCTCCCAAGAGCACCTCGTTCTACTTTCTTTTCTCCTTCCCCTCCCTTCCTCTCCCCATCTCTCTGGATCCAGGAGTTGTTTTTCATCTTCTGTCCATTTTCCCTTCACCACAGGTTGTTCTCTCTCTACAGGATGAAGCCCTCTTCTCACCTTCCCATCATACTCCAACTGATGAGCTCAGGGGATGCTCAACACTCCTCAGATTTTGCCATGAATGAAAAGAGCATCTCTCAGTGAACTGGGTGGCTGATATTGGCGGGGGCGACAGAAGGCAATGCAGCTGTATCTCTGATGCTCAGTCCTGCTACTAGATCCCACCCCATTTCCCACCCCATCTCCAGAGGGCAACCTCTAACTGGAAGATTCCTCGCAAAGCCCCTGCCCTCTCCATGCCTTATTGGTGCTTGGAGCTGCCGGAGATGCAGAGATGAAGACTACTTTTAACATTCTTGAGCAAGTACTGTGTGCCAGGCACGGTTAGGTGTTCTATTATTATTTCATTAACTCCGCAGTACAACTCTATGAGGTAAGCGCTGCTATTTCCATTTTATAAAAGAGGGAACTGAGGCTTAGGAAAGTTACACAATTTTGCCAACAGCACCCAGCTATTAAGTGACTTGATCCTGGATACAGTGACTCCTTTGTATGAGCATAAAGGTAATATGGAATTTGGGGGAAGAGTCTAGCCAATTTAGGCCCCGTTTTAGCTTTTTGTATTTCCTACAGATTGTAAGCCCTCTGGCTGTACAAAGCAGCCCTCCTGTACCAGCATCACTAATGAAGGTAATTGGTCATCCTGCCCCTCAGGTTAAGTAGTTATATGAGGATAAAGGTGCTTGCTCACCCCACATCTATTCTCATGCTCCTGAGCTTGGGCTACCAGCAGGTTGTCCTCAACTTCAGGACTCTAATGTCATTGAATTGAGTCACAACTCTAATACCGATCATTTCTTTTCCATCCTTTCCTCTCAAGGGGCAGTTTAAGAATCTGAGATTTCTTTCCACCCCCTCCCCGCTTTGTTAATCTCACCTACCCAAACTTTTCTTTCCTCCAGTGCCTGGCCATGTTGTCTACCTCCTACTCCATGTCCTCTCCCCCTCACATTCTAATCCCACACTGTTTCTGCCCCATCAGAAGGGAAAAGGAAAAGGGTAATTAGTGGAAGACCCCTCTCAAAATCTAAGGGCTATGGTTTTCTGTCCCTGCCCCATGCCATACCGGGTACATCATCATCAGATACTCATGTGGCTACACCTGTGGCTCCTGGGATGTACAGGTGGAAACCACATGCTATTGTTAGTACAGACATGTAGGGTGGACCACTGCCCACTCCTGCCACCTCATCTACGTAAAGGAGGTCCAGATCTTAGACTGGGGACTATGAAGGCAATAAAACCAGGAAACCTCTACCCATTCTCATTCAAATCATGACTTCTCAAGTTCCCTCTGCCTCTGACAGCCCTGCTTCCCACATAATAAAGATAGTCTTTGTTTGTGTCTTTGGTGTTCCTAGCCCCTCACTTGTGCCTTTTCTCTCTATAGGATGTTTCCCTGCACTAAGTGCTCCAACGTGTGTTGAGATGGGAAAGCTATGGAGAGGATCAGAAGAACTGAAGTCAACTTCCTACTTCCACCACCATCATCTCATTCTTCAACAAACATTAATCACACTGTTCTGGGCTCTCTTCTTGGTGCTAGATGTATAGAGAAGTAAATCACGCAGTTGGGGACGGTCATCAAGAAGACATGGCCACTGGTTTGACTCACAAGCTGGACCCAG